CTGTATTTTCATAGGGTTTGCAGCCCCAGGGGATGTAGGCCGCCGCAGGGGACCCGCTTGCTAGGGCTGAGGGTTAGGGGTTCCTTTTCTTAGGAGAACACCACGGGGATGCACCGCGCGGCGTGCGAATTCCTCCTCAGCGGCTATCGCCGCTTCGTCGGTGCGGCGCACGCTGTATGGGCAGGCTCGCTGAGCGCTCGGCCAGGCGCCACGGGCTTCTGACGATGCACCGCCCGTGGCTTGCAGTTTAGGGTTTGGGGTTTGGGGTTTGGGGTTTGGGGTTTGGGGTTTGGGGTTTGGGGTTTGGGGTTTGGGGTTTGGGTTTAGGGTTTAGGGTTTAGGGTTTAGGGTTTAGGGTTTAGGGTTTAGGGTTTAGGGTTTAGGGTTTAGGGTTTAGGGTTTAGGGTTTAGGGTTTAGGGTTTAGGGTTTAGGGCTTAGGGCTTAGGGCTTAGGGTTTAGGGTTTAGGGTTTAGGGCTTCTCTTAGCGCAGCGGCCGACAGTCCAGGCAATGCTGCCCCCCCTTCGGCAAGCTTGATTGGGGGGGCGGTTAGCCGACCCGAGCAAGCTTGGCGAAGGGGGCAGGAGGTGCAACATCTTCCCACCCCCGGCCGCATGGCCGGCAACCTCCCAAACTAAATCCTTTTAGGGTTTAGGGCCGTTGGCCCCTAAATTCCCAAATGCGTTCCAAGCGCTCCCAGGCGTTCCCTGGCGCTCCCAGGCGCTCCCAGGCGCTCCCAAGCGCTCTCAGGCGCTCCGAGGCGCTCCCCGGCGCTCCCCGGCGCTCCCGGCGCGTTCCGAAGCGCTCCCAAGCGCTCCCAGGCGCTCCCTGGCAATCCCAAGCGCTCCCAGGCGCTCCCACGCGCTCCCAAGCGCTCCTAGGCGCTCCCAAGCGCTCCCAGGCGCTCCCGGCGCGTTCCCAGGCGCTCCCAAGCGCTCCCAGACGCTTCCAGGCGCTCCCTGGCGCTCCCAAGCGTTCCCAGGCGCTCCCGGCACGCTTCCAGGCGCTCCGAGGCGCTCCCAGGCGCTCCCAGGCGCTCCCAGACGCTCCCAGGCGCTCCCAGGCGCTCCCAGACGCTCCCAGGCGCTTCCAGGCGTTCCAAGGCGCTCCCAGGCGCTCCCAGGCGCTCCCAGGCGCTCCAGGCGTCCCAGGCGTCACTCAGAAGAAAAGGTTTTTGGGTTTAGGGTGTTATATTCGTTGAGGATCAGGGGAGGGTTTATCGTTGAAGCGCTAATCCCCAAAAGAGGGGGAGGGCAGCAGCAAAAGCTGCCACAAACACTCGGGCTACATGCTGAAGCGTCTCAGAGATACCCTGTCTCTCGTAGACGGCGACGGTGATGCGCGGTGGGGTGGGCAGAAGCACAACGAGGTGCTTGGGAATTTAGGGTTTAGGGTTTAGGGTTTAGGGTTTAGGGTTTAGGGCTTCTCTTAGCGCAGCGGCCGACAGTCCAGGCAATGCTGCCCCCCCTTCGGCAAGCTTGATTGGGGGGGCGGTTAGCCGACCCGAGCAAGCTTGGCGAAGGGGGCAGGAGGTGCAACATCTTCCCACCCCCGGCCGCATGGCCGGCAACCTCCCAAACTAAAGCCTTTTAGGGTTTAGGGCCGTTGGCCCCTAAATTCCCAAATGCGTTCCAAGCGCTCCCAGGCGCTCCCTAGCGCTCCCAGGCGCTCCCAGGCGCTCCCAAGCGCTCTCGGGCGCTCCCAGGCGCTCCCCGGCGCTCCCAGGCGCTCCCGGCGCGTTCCGAACGAAGCGCTCCCAAGCGCTCCCAGGCGCTCACTGGCAATCCCAAGCGCTCCCAGGCGCTCCCAGGCGCCCCCAAGCGCTCCTAGGCGCTCCCAGGCGCTCCCAGGCGCTCCCGGCGCGTTCCCAAGCGCCCCCAAGCGCTCCCAGACGCTTCCAGGCGCTCCCTGGCGCTCCCAAGCGTTCCCAGGCGCCCCCGGCACGCTTCCAGGCGCTCCGAGGCGCTCCCAGGCGCTCCCAGGCGCTCCCAGACGCTCCCAGGCGCCCCCAGGCGCTCCCAGACGCTCCCAAGCGCTTCCAGGCGTTCCAAGGCGCTCCCAGGCGCTCCCAGGCGCTCCCAGGCGCTCCAGGCGTCCCAGGCGTCACTCAGAAGAAAAGGTCTTTGGGTTTAGGGTGTTATATTCGTTGAGGATCAGGGGAGGGTTTATCGTTGAAGCGCGAATCCCCAAAAGAGGGGAAGGGCAGCAGCAAAAGCTGCCACAAACACTCGGGCTACATGCTCTAGCATCTCAGAGATGCCCTGTCTCTCGTAGACGGCGACGGTGATGCGCGGTGGGGTGGGCAGAAGCACAACGAGGTGCTTGGGAGGGTTTAGGGTTTAGGGTTTAGGGTTTAGGGTTTAGGGTTTAGGGTTTAGGGTTTAGGGTTTAGGGTTTAGGGTTTAGGGTTTAGGGTTTAGGGTTTAGGGTTTCCGAGCAGAACCATCCTATCCCCCCCTCACCAGGGTGTAGGGGGGGATGGATGGGTGCGTTGAGTCCCGCCCCATCCGCCCAGAGTCATTGCTTTTAGGGTTTAGGGTGGTCTACCCCCCTCGCTCCCCCCTAGCAAGGGGGGAAGTGTGCAGGCGTCGGCAAGAGTGAGTGGCCGCGTACCAGGGATGAATGAGAAGAGTCGTCCTTCGCGAAAGTTACGCGTGCGACCTAGGCCCGCGCGGGCGAAGAGTCGCACGCGTAGCCTTCCCCAGGGGCCGCCGCGTGGAGGCTGGACGTGACCCCTTGGCTTTCCTTTCGGCAATGGCCGGCCAGTCGCGCTCGGGGTGCGTCAAGCTTTGTAGCTCGCGGACCCAACGCGACGGGGCGGCCAACGCCAAGCGGAAGCCTCCCTCGTCCGCGAGCCTCCGCGTCTTGTTGGAAGCTCGGGGATGACGGCGCAGCTGCGCCTCGCCGAGATCCCGCGTGGGAATCGTCTGTGGGAGTCCGGCGGACGTCGGGAGATGGCGACGCGCGGGAGTACTGCGGCATGTGTATGCGATGGGCGAATCAGCGTGGGATTTGTCGCGGGGTTGAACATCCCACGCAGCAGCGGGGGTAAGCAAGTTGCGTTGCAGACGCAGCAGTGGGTCTGTGAGAACATTAAGCAGACTGGCCAGGCAGCACCCAAGGGAGCTCGAGACAGACGGCTTGAGAGAGCCCGCGGCCGAAGCAGCACCCAAGGGAGCTCGAAACAGACACGCTTGAGAGAGCCCGCGGCCGAAACAGCATTCAAGGGAGCTCGAAACAGACACCCTTGAGAGAGTCTGCGGCCAAAGGAGCACCCAAGGGACACAAACCAAGCCCACAGGAGAACGCAGACCGGCGCCACAGTCGCCCACCGAGCCAGCCCGAGCTCGGAGTTTCGCCCAAGTTCGGAGCCCGAGCCGGAATCAGAGCCCGAGCCGGCACCGCGCCGGAGCCCGGGGGAATGTGAATCCGGTATATCGGTAATTTTCCTTGGTTTAGCTCTCCCAGAGAGGTCTGCGCACGCTCTTGAGGATATGTTTTGTTCACTACCCTGGGAACGATCCTCTGGGAGCTCCTTCACGCCAAGAGCTCTGGAGGGGAGCTCTGGGGGGGAGCTCTGGGGGAGAGCTCTGGAGGGAGAGCTCTGGGGGAGAGCTCCGGGGGAGAGCTCTGGGGGAGAGCTCTGGGGGAGAGCTCTGGGGGAGAGCTCTGGGGGAGAGCTCTGGGGGAGAGCTCTGGGGGAGAGCTCTGGGGGAGAGCTCTGGGAGAAAGCTCTGGGGGAGAGCTCTGGGGGAGAGCTCTGGGAGAGAGCTCTGGGGGAGAGCTCTTGGGGAGAGCTCTGGGGGAGAGCTCTGGGGGAGAGCTCCGGGGGAGAGCTCTGGGGGAGAGCTCTGGGGGAGAGCTCTGGGGGAGAGCTCTGGGAGGGAGCTCTGGGGGAGAGCTCTGGGGGAGAGCTCTGGGGGAGAGCTCTGGGGGGAGCTGGGGGGAGCTCTGGGGGAGAGCTCTGGGGGGAAGGGGGTCTCGTTGTGGGAGCCCACAAGGAGCCTGGGGGAGCTCGTTATGGGAGCCCACAAGGAGCCAAGGAGCCCGGGGGAGCTCGTTGTGGGTACCCCCCAGAATCCTCCGTGATGCATCAGGGAGGATTTTGGCCGGCGGACGCACAGAACCTTTGGACCATTGGATTTACGCCTTCGGCAATAAAACCTGCCCCAGCGCGCTCTTCCAGAGAAACCAAGCGTTCTGGGGTCAGTTTTAAGCAAATCCGGAGGTTTTTAAGCGCCGATACAAGTGCTTGGATATCAGAGAGGCTGCATGCGAGCGCGACAAGGGGGACCAGCGCGGCGGCGGGCAAACCCAAGCGCTAATTTTACGATTTCGGCTATCTAAGCGCCGCAGCGCGCTTCCGTAGCGAAGCCAAGCGTCCTGGGGCAGTTTCTAAGGAAATCCAATGGTTTTTAAGGGAAAGCCTAAACCCGCGGCCCAATACCCTAAACTCACCAGGGCCGGCCGCGATTTGGGAGCATCCGGCCCCGGGTTAGGGGTTATGTGTTTCTGAGCGAGACACAGCCTCAGGCCGGCAGGCCGATTGTGGCGGTGAGCTCGACTGGCAGCTCGCTCTCACTAGCAGATCCTTACAGGCGTGGCGATGCGCGCCCCCAGGGCCGCGCCTGCAGTTTAGGGTTTAGGGTTTCCCAATGCGGAACCATCTCATCCCCCCCTCCTCAGGAGGTAGGGGGGGATGGATGGGTGCGTGCTGTCCCACCCCATCCACCCAGAGTCATTGCTTTTAGGGTTTAGGGATCATCCCCCCTCGCTCCCCCCTATCTAGGGGGGAAGTGTTCAGGCGTCAGAAAGAGAACGTGACGTACCTTGAGGGTTTGGTTCAGAGGAGTCGTCCTTCGCGACCGACGCGTGAGCAGGTGTTCCGGCAGATGCGAGTGCGGGATCCAGAACAGTGGCGGGGAATCGTTATGCTAGCAGTGCAGCGCCGGCTCCACAGTTGCTTGTAAATCATACTCGGGGAGGCGCTGCGCCGCGCGGTCAGCCGGCGGGCACGAAGTGCTCCTCCGTTAGCACGCCGCCCAGCAGCACTTGGTCCGCGCGGCTGACGCGCGAGAGCGCAGTGTATGCTGCCCCCTCGCACTTGGGGGTGTCCAGCCATATCGTGATGTGCGTGACCTGATCTCCTTGCACTTTGTGTATGGTGGAGCAGTACCCAAGGCGGATAGGATAGTAAGACACCCGACCATGATCCACGTCAGTCCACGGAGTGACCACGTGGACGTACCCGGTGTCGGTCTTGACTCGGAGTTGCCGGGCGTTGCTATCCCAGTGGAGCACCTCGCAGCCCATCCCGTTCACGTAGTCGACGGACTTGAGCACGTTCTGGGTGAGGTAGAGCCGCATGCCCTTGTGTATCGGCACATTGGCTGGCGCTGGGCGGCGATCGGTGCACCACTGGCCGCGCTCGTCGTAGTTGTCCGGGTTGAACTCCACGTCGCCCGGCACCGAGACCAGCGGCTGCTTACCGGTGTAGAGGGCTTCCACCGCAAGGTCGTTCACCAAAGCTGCGCGCCGTCGGGTGCACGTCACTATCTTGGTGGATGGGTGCTTCTGCATCAGCTTGCGAATGTCGGCCACGTCCGGCTCGGCGCCCAGCCACGCCTTGCGACCCCTGCACAGGCGGTTCACGATTCCGCTCTTCTTCTCCGGTCTGCTTGTGCGCAGCGTCTGGAGGATGTCCCAGAACTGGGGATCCTCGCGGCGGTGGGGCTCCTGGAGTTTGCAAAAGCGGAGCATGCTTGATTTCCACGCGGGGGAAGCTGGTACTTGTCTCCGAGAAAGATGAGCGTCGGGACCTTGTCCGCCACGTGCCAGAGGCGCAGCATCCGTTCAAAGTCGTCCTGGCCCAGCAAGCTCACCTCGTCCACCACCACGAGGTCGTAGCACGTCATGAGGGGGTAGCTCTCGGACTTGGGGGCGTTCAGCTTGAAGGCCGCGTGGCGTGTGTCGACCACGACGTTGGAGTACTGCGCGAAGCGGCTCCGCATGCGCGAGGCGAGATGCGCCGTGGGCAGCGCGAAGAGGACCCGCGCAGCTCTGGCGACGGCTGCACGGAGCTGGCGAGACACTACGGTGGTTTTCCCAGTGCCAAGCGGCCCGAGGCAGACCACGGGCCTGTTCTTCTCCTGGCACATCTCCTGCGCTGCCTCCAGTTCTGTTTCGTCCTGGGCCGGAGTCGCGCGGAGGGCGAGCGTCGCGTGCTTTGCGATCTCTCTTTCGAAGACGCCTTGCAGGGCGTTGAGTTTGAGGGGGTCCTCTCTGCGCGTGCGCTCCGCCTCCTCGGTGGCCGCGGCCACGGGGTCGGATATCGCGCCCGGATCGTCCGCCATTTCAAGTTCGCCCGTCCAGAACTGTTCGATCAGGGTGCGGTGCCCAGCCAGCAGCGCCACAGTGTCCTCGATGTGGTCCTCCGTGTGGGCCTCATCGTTATCTCCTTGCGTATGCGCTCTGAGGAGTTCCAGAAGTTGTGCAGGTGGGGCGGCACGCGGCTTTGGTCCGCGCAGAGCGTCAGCGCCCAGGCCTGTCCACGCAGGCGCGGCGGCACCCTTGCCGTCACCTCTGGCACATCGAGGTCCTCCAGTTTGCGGAAGGGCACATGCTGTAGGACCCACTGGCGGATGAACTTATCGTTGTGGCGCCAGACAGTGTCCACCGCCACGAGTTGCTCACCGCGCGTGGTATACTCGTTCGCGAACTCCGTCTCCGTCAGGTGCATCTGTTCCTCTGGGCGCTCCTTCCACAGCTTCTTCAACCAACCGGCGATGGCGCCCTTTTGGGCAGTCTTCCGGAGAAACTCCAGGAAGCTCATGTCATCGTGGCGCCACTTGCTTTTCATGTACGCCTTCAGCTCCGACGTGATCTCGGACCCGTCGGGCGCCACCAGGTGTCGCAGTCCGCGGCTCTGCGTCCCCATTCCCCACTGGCGGAAGTTCGCTGCCTCCAGTTGCAGGACCATCTCTGGCTCGAAGGGATGGTGCTCTTTCAGCACGCGCCAAGCGATGGAATTTGCGGCCGCCTTATCGTTCATCCACTCGTCGTAGTTCGCATCGCTGAATTTGGACACGTATTTCGTGACGTACTTGAGGAGGGGTGCGTCGCCAGCCGACATCTGCACGTCCTGGTGGCACTTCAGCGCGTCCATAATGTCGGGGAAGTATGCGCGGCGGCCGGCCTCGGAGTCGTCCCGAGTGTGGTGCAGGTGCAGGCGCGACGCGTTGGCGTCGTAGGTGGAAGGCCCGTCATGAATCTCCCACTTGCTGTCCCCGTCCCGGCTGTCCTGGGAGCCCTTAACGTATGCGGCCTGAGTCTCGTCTGCGGGGAGCGTCGCGCTGAAAGACTTCTCCAGCTCGATGTCCGCCACGTCTTCCAGCCAGAGCAAGCAGTGGAGGTGTGGGCGACCGCTCCCGTGGTACATCTGAGTGGCCTGCTTCCGGGAACCATCCTTGAATTCCAGGCGCGTGAAGAAATTCACCACCGTGGTCTTCTTCTTATCGCCTGTCTTGCAGCTGAGGATATGCTTTTTCCAGAAGCGGTCGTCGCGCTTGTTTTGCTGGTTTTTGCCCGTCAGGAGTCCGGAGACGAGTTGGGTGCACAGATGAGATAAGTGCAGGGGCTCCATCGGTGCCAGGTGAAGGCGTGCGCGCAGGAGCTTCTTCATGTCGTCGAGGAGGAACTCGTGGTAGGGCGCAGACATCTCCCACGGCGACATTGTAAAGAACTAGGGTTTAGGTGGGATTTAGGGTTTCGGTGGGATTTGAGCTCCCAGGAACCCTTCCGGGCTTATTCCGGCACCCCAGGGCGGCGTTCGAGCCGGACGCCCGGGCCGGCGGTCCGGGCCGGCGCCCGGAGCGATTCCGGCTCCGGCCGGCGCCGTAAAATTGAATTCCGAGGCGGCGCCGAAAAAAGGCCACTCCAAGACACATTTTCCTTTCGAAAATATTGATTTCCTGCTCCCGGCGCCCGGGAACCCTTCCGAGCCGATTCCGGCACTCGATCGGCGCTCGAGCCAGACGCCCGGTCCGGCGCCCGGGCCAGCGCCCGGGCCGGTTCCGGCGCCGGCCGGCGCCGGAAAATTGAATTCCCGGACGGTGCCGAAAAAAGCCCCACTCCAAGACGCATTTGTCTTTCAAAAATATTGATTTTCTGCTCCCGGCGCCCAGGAACCCTTCCGGGCGGATTCCGGCACCCGAGCCGACGCTCGAGCCGGACGCCCAAGTCGGCGCCCGGGCCGGCGCCCGGGCCGGTTCCGGCGCCGGCCGGCGCCGGAAAATTGAATTCCGAGGCGGTCCGAAAAAAGGCCACTCCAAGACACATTTTTCTTTCGAAAATATTGATAATATGCTCCTGGCGCTCAGGAACTGGGCGCCGGCGGTAAACCGTCAACCTTTCTTACCGCCGGGGGACTCGTAGAGCTTCCTGAGAGTATATCATGTGGAAAAAAATTCCAGAGAATTTCAGCCCATGCCAGACCTCTCAAGATCTCTCTGGCAAAAAAACGATCAGTTTGAAACCCAGCTCGAGTGTCAAACCGAACTCAGACCTCTGAATGCGACAGGCGGACGCGTTTGATGTCTGTGAATGGACTCAAGCATGCGCGCAGGGCGCGTGACGTAGGCGCGTCGGCGCGTCGCCCCGTCGAAGAGGCAGCCTTTGGCGATTTCGGCGTTGAGCTTCGCCGTTGGGCTGCCACTGGCGCAGCATGTCCATGCGTTGCCGCCTTTGCCTTCGGCACTGGGTTGTGACGCTGGGCTGTGAATGCTGGGATGCGCGCGTGCGGCCGCGGCCGTAGCAATGCGCGCCGATGCGAGCACGCGCGCAGGGTGCATGGCGCTGGCGCGTCAGGTCGCCTCGTCGATATCGCGGGACGTAAAGATCCCCATAGCAGGCTCGATCCAGGGGCGCGCCGCGGAGCACGCATGATCAGTTTATAATATGTTTTGCATAGGATTGTGGAGGAAGCCGTGAAGATCCGCATAGCAGGCTCGATCCAGGGGCGCGCCTGGGAACACGCATGATCAGTTTATATTATGTTTTGCATGAATTGTTTACATAGCGGGACGTCAAGATCACCATCGCAGGCTCGATCCAGGGGGGCGCCTGGGAGCACGCACGATCAGTTTATATTTTTTTTGCATAGAATTGTGCAGGGAGCCGTGAAGATCCGCATAGCAGGCTCGATCCAGGGGCGCGCCTGGGAACACGCATGGGTAGTTCATCGCGGGGCGTAAAGATCCCCATAGCAGGCTCGATCCATGGGGCGCGCCTGGGAGCACGCGTGATCAGTTTATAATATGTTTTGCATAGGATTGTGGAGGAAGCCGTGAAGATCCGCATAGCAGGCTCGATCCAGGGGCGCGCATGGGAACACGCATGATCAGTTTATATTATGTTTTGCATGAATTGTTTACATAGCGGGACGTAAAGATCACCATAGCAGGCTCGGTCCAGGGGGGCGCCTGGGAGCACGCGTGATCAGTTTATATTATTTTTTGCATAGGATTGTGGAGGGGGCCGTGGAGATCCGCATAGCAGGCTCGATCCAGGGGCGCGCCTGGGAACACGCGTGGTCAGCTCTGGGGGAGAGCTCTGGAGGAGAGTTCTGGGGGAGAGCTCTGGGGGAGAGCTCTGGGGGAGAGCTCTGGGGGAGAGCTCTGGGGGGGGGCTCTGGGGGAGAGCTCTGGGGGGAGCTCTGGGGGAGAGCTCTGGGGGGAGCTCTGGGGGAGAGCTCTGGGGGAGAGCTCTGGGGGAGAGCTCTGGGGGAGAGCTCTGGGAGGGAGCTCTGGGGGAGAGCTCTGGGGGAGAGCTCTGGGGGGGAGCTCTGGGGGAGAGCTCTGGGGGAGAGCTCTGGGGGAGAGCTCTGGGGGAGGGGAGCTCTGGGGGAGAGCTCTGGGGGGGAGCTCTGGGGAGAGCTCTGGGGGAGAGCTCTGGGGGAGAGCTCTGGGGGAGAGCTCTGGGGGAGAAGCCGAGCGGTATCCGTGAGCAACCGGCGGAGGGTTAGGGGTTATCATTTTGCAAGCGAAGCACCGCCTCGGGCCGGCAGGCCTATGGTCGCGGTGAGCTCGACTTGCAGCTCGCTCTCACTAGCAGATCCTTACAGGCGTGGCGGTGCGCGCCCCCAGGTCCGCGCCTGCAGTTTAGGGTTTAGGGTTTAGGGTTTAGGGTTTAGGGTTTAGGGTTCAGGGTTAGGGTTAGGGTTAGGGTTAGGGTTTAGGGTTAGGGTAGGGTTAGGGTTAGGGGGTTTAGGGTTAGGGTTAGGGTTTAGGGTTAGGGGTATGGTTTGTGTTGAGGGTTAAGGTTTAGGGTTAGGGTTAGGGTGAGGGTTTAGGGTTAGGGTTCGGGTTCGGGTTTAGGGTTAAGGTTTAGGGTTCAGGGTTTAGGGTTAGGGTTAAGGTTTAGGGTTAGGTCATAGGGTTTAGGGTTACGGTTAAGGTTTAGGGTTAGGGTTAGGGCTAGGGTTTAGGGGTAGGGTTAGGGTTAAGGATTAGGGTGTAGGGGTTATGGTTAGGGTTAGGGTTTAGGGTCAGGGTTTAGGGTGTAGGGTTTTGGGGGTTAGGGTTTAGGGTTAGGGTTAGGGTTTAGGGTTAGGGTTTAGAGTTTAGGGCTAGGGTTTAGGGTTTAGGGTCAGGGTTGGGGTTGAGGTTAGGGTTTAGGGTTAGGGTTAGGGTTTAGGGTTTAGGGTGAGGGGTAGGGTTGGGGTTAGGGTGTAAGGATAGGGTTGAGGGTTAGGGTTAAGGGTTCAGGTTTAGAGCTTAGGTTAGGGCTAGGCTTAGTGTTAGGGTTTGGGGTCAGGGTTAGGTCTACGGTTAGGGTTTAGGCTTCGGGTTAGGGATTGAGGATTAGGGTTCAGGGTTTGGGTTAGAGGTTAGGGGTTCGGGGGGGTCGGGGCGGGAGTGGTAGGGATGGGGTTCCGGAGCCGGGGCGCGAGCCGGGGAAAGGGGGGGGGGGGGGTTCGCCGACGACGGTTCGGGAAAGGGGGGGGGGGGGGGTTCCCCGACGACGGCTCGGGCAAGGGGGGAGGGTGGGGTTCGCCGACGGACGGCTCGGGCGCGTTGCCCCCTCAGTTCGCGACACGCCTGGGCACCAAAGAACTGCCTAGGCCACCAGCGCCCACCCCTTTGGGGATTCCAGGCGGCGCGCCTTCCATCCGTGAAGGCTGCTGCAGCTGTAATTTTTAAGTTTCAGGGGCATAAATGGTGAGGAAGTGTCGGGTGAAACGTCCGGCCCGGCCCGCCCTACCAACACGCCTGGGGTGCGACAGTGAGGACGTAATTTCAAGGAGACGTGACTCACATTAGGAGGACGAGGATGGGGCAGGGGAGAGGAGGGAAGA